TGATTTTGATCCCTGGAATCCGTGTAAGAATGGAAGGAGAGGACCGTCCACACAAAGTTGTCCTCTGACCTCTACCTGCGACTCCACTCCATAAAAATCCATCCACATTTTCAAATGAAGTGCTAATGATAATTCCTCCCTCTGCTTCCAAGGCCAGCTTTGTCCCTACCTCCTAGGAACAAGTAAGACCTCCAGGTGGTGCATAGTCATTTTTCTTCTCAATGGTTCCAATTGCAGGGTCTATGCAGGGCTCAGAGACCCAGATTTGATGTGAGGTAAGATAAACAAGACCAGACAGTAGTGATGTGAGCTCCACAGGTCCTGAACTTTTCCATTAGCCTTGTAGAATTTGTACATTCTGTACACCAAGGCTCTGAGTTCAATTCCCAGCACCATAAGCAAAGAGAGTATCTTGGCCAGATATGCTGTCACAGGCCTTTAATCCTAGTACCCAAGAGACAGACAGAGAGACAGACAGATCTCTGAGTTTGGGACCAGCCTCCGCTACACAGTAAGACCTTGTCTCAAAACAAGCACACCTAACCTATAATGTTATTTCAGCTGTGACTCCCCAGCTCTTCACTAGGGTCTACCAAAACTCACTTAAAATAGAGCATATAGCTCTCACATCAATCTGGAGCTGTTGAGTATTGCTGCAGAAAACACATGGTTCTGCTAATTGGTCTCATATTCACGACCACAGCCTTAGTATGGTAGAGGATCTAGGCAATCAGTGTGGTAGGGCAAGAAAACCAATTTAAAAGAATATGGAGGTTAAGAGGGGAAAAATGTGCCCACAGTCAATATGATTGTATAAGTAAAAAAATCCAACGAGTGCTCTTAACTCCAGCCTCAGTAATAGTAAATTGTTAAAGTGAGCTTGACAAAGTTGTTGGACATGGGACTAGAGAAATGGACCAGTTGTTTGGAGACTCTATTAATTGTTTTGTTTGTTTTGTTTTGAGATAAAGTTTTTCTGTGTAGCTCTGGGTCTCTTGGAACTCACTCTGTATACCAGGCTGGCCTTGAACTCACAGAGATCCACCTGCCTCTGCCTCCTGAGTGCTGGGATTAAAGGAACGCGCCATCACTCAGCTAAAGAAGTGATTTTTAATAGAACATAAAAGTGTATTAAACAAATAAAAACATCAATAAACTGGACTACATTACAATTAACTTTTTTTTTGTTCATTTGTTTCTCGAGACAAGGTTTCTGTTTGTAACAACCCTGGTGACTGTCCTGGAACTCTCTTTGAAGACTAGGCTGCCCTCAAACTCACAAAGATCCACATGCCTCTGTGTCTTCAATGCTGGGATTAAAATTAACAATTCTTATTGTTACAATAACAATTAACAAATTCTTATTTAATGGCAATAAGAAGAAGAGAGCCAGCCAGATGCATTACATGCCAGCACTGAGGCTGAGATAGTAAGATTATCAGTTACCCACTGGCTAGGGCTAAATAGTAAGACCATGTTTCAAATAACAATAGCAACAATAACAACAATAAAAGAATGGAAACCAACCCACTGCAGTCCTGTGATCCTACAGACTCCGCCTCTTTGAAGACTGAAATAGGAAAGGTTATTCAAGTTAAGGCAACATAGCAAGCTCTTGATGGACAGATGGTAGATAGATGGACAGACAGACAGACTAAATTGTAAGTATAAAATATAAGGACAAATGCTGAATACATAATAAGTCAATAAAAGATATACAAATCAGTAGATATATGGATAAAAGATTAAATAAGCATTACAACTGAATAGCCAAGAAACTAATGAAAAGGTGCAAGTCATGCTCTTTGAATATCTTACTTTTCATGGTGTGCTATTCTTCCATTAAAAGGGGGAAAGGCTAAAGCACTTCTCATATAAGTGTGAGGACCAGAGTTCAGATCTCACATGAATATTGGATGGATGTGGCAGCCTGTTCATAATTCTCATGTTCAGAGGGCAGATTGGTATCTTTGAAACATCTGGCTATTCATACTAGCTGTATTGCTGAGCTCTGGGTGCAGCTGAGAGAGCCTTCTGCACTGAATAAAGTGAAGAGCTGTGGAAAACCCCCGTCAGGCTTGGGCGTCTGTCTACATCTGCATCTGTGCCTGTGTGCTCACACGTACAGCACACAGAGATGTACTAAAAGAAAAAAACCTGCTGGGCGGTGGTGGCGTACGCCTTTAATCCCAGCACTTGGGAGGCAGAGGCAGGCGGATTTCTGAGTTTGAGGCCAGCCTGGTCTACAGAGTGAGTTCCAGGACAGCCAGGGCTACACAGAGAAACCCTGTCTCGAAAAATACCAAAAAAACCCCAACCCCCCCCCAAACAACCTGAAAAAAGAAAAAAAAAAGATTTCTCCTCATTGCAGCCTCAGTCCATGTTTTTCGAGAACAGAGCTGAGCTCTCTACCCTTCAAGAAAAGCTGTGCAGGAGTAGTGTGGAGTTCAGTGCATGTTCCACATGATCCAGACCTTTATGTATCCATGTTAGGCACCATTTCTGGCTCAAAATAATGCTCAACTGACAGGTTCCTACTGTTCCTGTTTGCTTCTCAGTCCCATCCAAACACTGTCCTGTCTTGGCAGAGCTCAGTGTTCTCTGTCCCTCATTTTCTCTCCTGCCTGGCCACATCCCACATCGGCCCTTCCAAGCAGCTGGAGAGGTGTTGTCTCAAAAGCTTCTCTTCTTGAGAGAAATCTTTTGGCTCACCACTATCTACCTTTATAGCTACAATTTTATGTTGTGAGACTATTGCCAGTGTTTTCTGGGGGAGGGGTTGGAGTCCTGCCCTTCCCCTGGAATGTTTGGGAGCAGTACCCCATATTTATGTAACTCTTGGCTAGGACTTCTGTATCTCCTACAAACTTGTGCAGGGCCCCTTGCACCATCCTGCAAGTGTGAGTGTGGACTTAATGAACACTGCTTATCTAGGAACCAGCCCTCAGAGCACAGATCAGACCAGCTCTTCCCACAGTCAGAGTGTACATCCCAGCAAACGGCAGATGTTGCCCCAACTCTCCTGCCTCAGCTTCCTGGGAACTCTCTGCTTTTCACTGGAGCCGGTCGTCTCCTGAGGGTAATAGTCTCCTGCTTGCAGTACTTGAGTGAAAGCAGTCATGGCTGGGAATCAGCGTCATTAACTCTGGATGTGACAGAGGAGGCAAAAAATCTCAGGGCAAAGAGCGGTGAGCAGGCTGTGACCCTCCACCTGGAGCCTGTGAGCTCAGCATTGTGACAGAGCCAGTATCCGAAGGACAGTATCCGAAGATTGCTAATATGCCCTCTACCCCATATTTTTCTTTTTAATATGTCCCTGCCTCCCTATCCTGAGCAACTGTTGAGGCCTGAGCCTCTGAGCCGCTACCTGCTGCATGTTTCTGTGTTTGGGTGTATGAGTACACAGCAAAGCTAGAGAGTAGCATCAAGTGTTTTTCTCTATTGCTCTGTGTGCCTTTAAATTTCTATTTACATCTTAAAATATGTATATGATTTTTTTTTTTTTTTTTACTGGCATGAATGTGTGTCTAATGCTTACAGAGGTCAAAACAGGATAGTAGATCCCCTGGAAGTGGAGTTACAGGTGATTGTAAGCCATTGGTGGGTGCTGAGAGCAGAACCTGAGCCGTCTTCAAGAGCAGCTGGTGCTCTTAACTGCTGAGCCACCTCTTCACCCCTCTTACTTCAGAATTTTTTTTTTCATTTTAATTCAATGGATGTAGTTATTGAGAGTTTGTGCAGTGCTGGAAAAGGCCAGAAGAGGGCACTGGATCTCCTGGAGCTGGAGGAGTTAATAGGCGGGTTGGGAGTCTCCTAATGTGGGTGGTGGAATTGAACTAGGGTCCTCCCCAAGAATATAGGTGCTCTTACTTCCTGAAGCACTGGGCCGTCTCTCAGCCCCCACCTTCCACGTTCTAAATTGCACTTTATGATTTTGTGTGTGAAAGCACATAGGGACGTAGCACAACAGCACACATGTACAGGACAACTTGTAGATGGTTCTCTCTTCCTGCCTCCCATGTGGGTCCTGGGGAGCAAACAAGTGCATGCCACCACATTTGGCTTTCTACATGGGTGCTGAGAATCCAATCTCAGGCCTCCACACTGGGGTGGCAAGCACTCTATCAACTAAGTCATCTCTCCAGTCCCTGCCTTCAGCAGCCTACTGTAATCCTGCATGTGTGCATCTGTATGGGAAACAGGGCTGCAGGTAAGAACCTCAAGAACCAGACTTTGTTGTTGACTGTGAGCCCTCCGTTTCCCTGCCCACTCTTAGTGAGAACTACTGTGCTGACCTGAGAGAGAACAAGCTTTTTTTTTTTTTAAAAAAAATCAATCTCTGCCTCTAATAAAGCAGGTACACACACTTAACTGCACCCTGGTTAACATATTCTTCCAGAACATAAAAATTATAAAATCTCTGTTGAGGTTTCAATACAGAGGAATCATGGTGGACCAAATAACAAGAGGATGGTAATCAAGCCAGCATGCTCAGGGAGAAGGGCCTGCTCGGCCTAAGACCATGCGGGAGCATGTGTGAGGCTCAAGTTCACACCGCAGCATAAAAGGGAGATGGAGGGGGAAGAAAAGGGGAGTACCAGAGACTAGCTGTAACTGCAGGATCCCATAACTTTATTTTACTTGAATTTTTAGTGAGAGAGGCTCTCACTGTATAGCTCTGGATGGCCTGGGACTAAGTAAACTAAGCTGATTGTGGGTATGTCTGTCTGTCTCTGCCTCCCAGGTGCTGGCATTAAAGGTGTGCACCACCATGGCCAAGAAGATAGGAATGGAACCCAAAAGGGATAAATACCTACAGGTGTGTCCCCCGGCACTTGGCTGTGGCTGGGCCCTAGAGGAAGCACAGGAGGGAGGCCAGGCTTGTCAAGGACCATCATCTCTTTGGGTTGCAGATATCAGTTTAACCTGGAGCTGTGAGGTCCGGATCCCCCAACACCCTTCCCAGTGTCTCCCCGCAGGACCATACAGGGAAGGCCAGCTACTGGTGTGTCTGTGATTTATTTTTGAAGGTGAGCTGTAGTACATAGGAAAATACAGATGGCTTTTGGCCTACTTTTTTTTTTTTTTCCAGAGAAAATAGATTCTATCATTGGCTTTCTCAGCACCATCATCTTGTCCCATGGGGCTGCAGGATGGATGGCATGTCTCTAGGATCCCGCTTTCAAGGCAACAGCCTGGCCAAGGCCTCTGGGGCTGAAAGCAGGGGGCTGGGGCATAGAGGTCCCTAGTGGACCTCTAGTGGAAAGAGCTGCACATGAGCAACACTCACTGCAAAGCTAAGGCAAAGAACAAAGCTGGCAGAAGGCGCCTCCCTCACCCTAAGGACATGGCCGGCTGAGGGTCAAGCCTCAGACCAGACAGCGGGTAGGGATGGCAGTGGCCCAGCCTGGAGCAACAGCAGGACTCTGGGTATGCACATGGGTATGGGTATGGGGTGGCATGCTGAAGAGGCAGCCTACCAGCAAATAGAAGGTCTTCAGCTTGCACATTTCCGCTGCCCCAATGTAGCTCCCAGACCGTGGTCCCCAATCCTACATCTGGCCCCTTACACTGACTCTACTTCAGGTAAGGGGCCCGGCTCGGGTCCCTTCTAACCTTTATCATCTCACAGTGTCAGTGCAAAATATCCTTAGAGCAAAGCCCCTGAGCTCTCTGCACCCTCCCAGGGCTGCAGAGAAGGGAGTAAAGAGAAGTGCTAGCTGGGGACCTCTCCCAGGTCCGGGAATTCCTTGTACATCTCTTGGACAATCATGCGGTCCATCTGGCACTGGGGTGAGGCCTCTTCCTCAGTCAGGATGCGTCGCAGTGTAGCCTGCAGGTCTGACAGCCGATGACGGTGCTGCAGGTAGGGTGTGGAGCGGACCACAGCATGCATCAGGGAGAGGTATTCCATGCGCAGCTATAGGAAGAGCAGGCTGGTTCAGAAACCCCTGGAATAGTACTGCAACTGCCCCCAGAGGGGTCTGGCCACTACTGTCCAGTGGACTACGGGACAACAAAGCAGCTCACACTCCTCAAAGTCAACACTAAATGACTCTCAAAGCTGTTCGAGAGGTGAATAAATGAATCACCCAGAACGTGGCTGCTCTGGTCTTGCCAGTCCTTTGGTGCCAGGTCCCCTAGGTACCATGTGTGTCAATCAGAGCCCTTGGCTTCTCGACATTTCTTGCTCCAGAAGATCTTAATTACACCCATGACCTGAAACAGCAATCTGCTCTCATATGTCACCCAACGAGAATATTCAATTGCCTGCTTGTCATCTACCTACCTCAGTCACCTTAAATCCACACATCTGCCACCAAGCCCCAGCTTCCCCCATCACACCTAAGGTAAAATGCTTCCCATGCTCTTTAGGAAAGAAACAGTTTGATCAGTTGAGGCCTGGAATGCCCCTGTATCCACCCCGATGACCTCTGCTGTCTGTCCTTATAGTACCACTGCCTATCTTTTGCCCTTTGACCCTAAGCAGATGAGCAGTGGTCTTGTGCTCACAGCACCCACCCTTCCCCTGTTCTCACTAGAACAAACAACAGAGTCCACCACTGTCAGTCTCCTGCCTCATCTGCGCACCTCCTGCAGTGGACCAGTCTCTCCAATACATGATCCATTTCTCTATGCTTACTGGAGCATTGCCCCAGGCCAGGCCATGTAACAGCACCTCCTACCTTAGAGACCCTCCATGATCCCATGGTTTCCTTTTAGAACCTGTCCCCGCTTTTCTATCTCTCTGTACAGAAAACTGGTTGCCTTCATTTATTGCTTCCAAATCCTTCCCCATCTCCACTCTCCCAGTAACTTAAAATTTTCTCCAACTTTCCATTCAGACTTGATTCTCTCCCCCACACTGGCATTGCTGGGCAGGCACTGCTGGCCTCCATGTGGCAAATTCAAAGACTAATTCTCCTCCCCACCCCTAGGCTCCTAACTGTGTGGCTCCCCTCTGCACACACATGGTCTGTGGCTTGCTCTTCCCCAGTTGGGTTTGTTCCTGGGTTTCTCCTTATCTGAGCCTGCTGAGTCACTACTAATGCCCAAGTGTCCCTGCTGACTATATCCATCTGATTTCCTAGGTGGCCACCTTGTCATAGGCTTTCTGTCATGTCTCTGCATAGACAACTGCACACGTGTCTAGTCTCAGTTCACTCACTGCCTCCCCAGTGCCTTGGCACCTCCATGTCTCCTAAGCTCTGTATTTTTAGTGCTAGGGATGCAGCTCGGAGCCTCCGGGGTGCAGGGCAAGCCTCCGGGGTGCAGGCAAGCCTCCGGGGTGCAGGCAAGCCTCCGGGATGCAGGGCAAGCCTCCGGGGTGCAGGCAAGCCTCCGGGGTGCAGGCAAGCCTCCGTCAACCCGCTCTAGACCCAGCCCTCAGCCTCAATCGTTTTTTCTTTTTTTTTTCTAATTTGGTTTTTCGAGACAGGGTTTCTCTGTATAGCCTTGGCTGTCCTGAAACTTGATCTGCAGACCAGGCTGGCCTCGAAATCACCGAGATCCAGCTGCCTCTGCCTCCTGAGTGCTGGAACTAAAGGTGTGCACCACTACACTGCCTGGCTTTTCCTCGATCTTGACTCATTCAAAACACAACTCTAATTTTCCCTAAGACGTTCTTTGAGCCTCTCCCATTAACAATCATCTATCCACCTAGCTGCTTAAAACCAATCCAGAAGCAGGCTCTGTCAGGCCCTCTTGCAACACACCCCAGGCCTGGCCTACTTCACCACCCACTCCTGCCTCAGGTTTCCTGGCTTCTACTCTGCTCTCACAGGAAGGCAGTGAGTTTCTTCCTCTTCTGAGAAGCAATTCCAAGTCTCTTCAGACATCCTGCTCCAGTTTGCCATACAGCTGGCCGCCACGTCCTGGTTTCTGAGTAGCCTTCCACAGTTACTTGCTCTGGCAGTAGCAGCCCTGCCCCCTCACATCCACTCAACTGTCATAGTCACCCCTTTTTGTTACGTTGCTGTTCACCTCCCAGCCCCCCTGCATCAGCCTCCAGGCACCTTGTCTCCAGGTGACAGGTCTGCGATCTGGCGCACAGTGATGTCAATGAGCGCCATCATGTCTGTGTGGTAGAAGATGGCGGCTGTGGTGGAACTGCTGAACACATCCTGCAGGAACTTGAGGACAGAGTGTGGTGGCTGGGGCTCATGTCTGAAGATACGTACAGGATCATCTAGAAGGCAAGGGTTCACAGGCATCAAAGCAGGGGAGGTGACAGAGTCAAGTGTGCATCCAAGTGGCACTTGTGCAGACTTCTAGGCTCTCACCTCCTCTGTTCAAAAGCAAAAGTAGCTTCTCAGAGAAGATCTTAACATTGGTGTGTTTGCTTAAGGCAGCCATGATGACATTCTGGTCAGGAGCTGAGGAAAGACATGGATGGAGACAAGGTAAGAGTGTATGTAGGTACAGAAGCCCGCAAAGGCCCACTTTGGTCACCCTCCTTCCAGATGGGTCCCACCTCACCTGTCAGGTGCAGATTGAGAGCCAGAAGCAGGTTCATGCAGAGGTCTGGCAGCTGCTCTGTGGTGTCCATCGGAAGGCCATCCTCAACGATGCTTAAAAGAAACTGGGCAAAGGGTGTGCCTAGGTGTTCTGAAAGAGAAGCATAAAGAATCTACAGATCCAACTTGTTTGCTCCCCAAACAATCCGGTCTCCCTGGATTTCTGTGAGCCCTAAGAACACCCTCTTCTAGTCAGCAGGTCTCCAGGCCCTTGAGACATGCACGGTTCCTACCTGTGAGACCACAAGTCCACTGCTTAGCGATCTGTATTCTTACCATAGTGTGCGTAGGGCACTGCCTCTCCCATGGAAAAGACCATGGCCAGGACGAGGGCGGAGTAACAGAGCTTTTGGTGGTCTAGGGGGTAAGAAAGGTAGTCAGCGAGGTCAGGGATCCCCAGCAGACGGTGGGAACAGTCTCCAAGTGGTAAGGAGCGCCCTGCCCCCCCCTCACCCTGTGTGTCAGTCTGCATGTCCCGTGCCAGTTCCACAGGCAGCACGGAAGACACCAGCGTGGAGATGATAGCTGCATCTAGGCTGCACATGGCCCCGAAGCACTTGAGGAGCAGCAGCCGTAGTGACGCTCGGTGTTCCTGGCAGAAGAACCTGTGTGCTCAGTGCCCTTACTCCTGCCCACACGCCTCTGTGCCCCTCCCGTGTCTTATACATACCATCTGGTAATAGGCCACCAAGGCTAGGACAGACTCAAAGTCACTCCTTTTGCACATTTTTTTGCAAACTTCAGGATCTGCATCCGTCTGGAGGGAAGAGAAAGAGTGAGCATTGCCCAGTGTGTGGTGAGCACGTGTGAGCAGAAGAGACCTATGGGTTAAAGAGTGATGGTACAGGGGAGGCTCACTGCTCCCATGCTGGCAGACCCACGAGGGTCCCCACCCCATACCAGGATATGCAGCAGCTCCTCCAGATAGCAGCGAATGACATCCTCGTCCTCATATAGCGCCCAGCTCCGCTGCTGGGCGTCATCCTTTCTTCTGGCCAGGTCTGCAAAGATCACCTCCAGTCTCTGCTGGTCATGGCAGACCTGCCCTGAGGGTAGGGCTGTGCTCAGGTCCTGGGGGAAGAAACCAAAGCATGATTTGGAGACTTCCTGGAGCTGGTGATGTGCAGACCTGGCCCCTCTAAGCTAAATATTCTTTGAACTAAGGTCCCACAAAATTTGTACTGTGTAGGTCAACTCAAGTCCTGACCTCTGGTACAAGACTCTGTTCAAGACTCAGCTGTGGGAATTTCATCATTTCAACTCTCACCCTAGAACTGGATGAGCAGCTCCCGTGAGGCAGGCATGGACTCTGTCACTCCCTGATGTGACTCAGGATCCTTCCCATTCCACACAATGTGACACCAGGCCTGTTGTACTAGACGCTAGCTGCTATGCCCTGCATACATACCACTGGCCTACTGCCCTCTACCTGCTCCAACCAGAAATCATAGGAGGCCTACGAAGTGCCTTTGGCCCACTCAAACCCCATCATGTAGTCAGGACTCACTAACCCGATTCCTTCTCCTGACCAGTGACCTACATTTTTTTTTTTCAGGGACACGGTTTTTCTGGCTGCCCTAGAATTTGCATTGTAAACCAAGCTGGCCTCAAACTCAGAGATCCACCTGCCTCTGTCTCCTGAGTGCTGGGATTAAAGGCATGCAGCACCAGACCCAACACCAGTCCCCTAACCTTGACAAGGGACCATAGCCATCTTGAAATGCTCATGTCACTCACTACCATCCAAGTTGGCACCTAAGCCACTATCAAAGCTGACCAAGCCTCCATCAAAGCTGACCAAGCCTCCTTTTCTCTACATTGCCAAGGCTGGTAAGGTACTGGTCTCTCACCCATATCCTGTCTCTCTTCTTTCCCTGCATCTAGAATCACAAAAACAGAAGGAGCACCAGTAGATAGTGGGAGACCCTTCCAGGTGATCGGAAGCTTCCCCTAGGCCCACCTCATCCTGGTCTCCCTTATCACCTGCCTTAGGCTCACCAGCTCCCACATGCCTGTGAGCCAGATGTGCCATCCACCTTCTTCCTTCCTGTGAGCCACAGTTGGTCCTGTCTCTTTGTCCTTACAAGCTGAGCCTCTGCCTACAATGTTCTTCCTCTCTTTCTCCTTCAAGGGTCAACTCAAATGACTCCAATATCCAGCACAATAAAAGCCAGGGGCTAGAGCTTGACAAATACCTGTCACACAGCCTGGACAAAGGTGTGAGGGCAGGAGCGGGGTGGGACTAGCAGGCTGGCTGAGGGTGGGAAGGCTCCTTGGCCATGCTGCCCACCCTCACCTTGCCCTCTACCAGCGAGAGGAGGACCTGCTCCATGACAGGTGAGCTGGCTGGTATGGAGGCCTGGATGTGACCCACCACGACACCAATGGCTACACGACATAATTCATGGCTCAGACCGGTGTTTCTCCGTACAAGTTCCATCAGCTCTGCCCCAATGGTCCTTGGCACAACTGTCTCAGCAGCTGGCTTTTCCTCTGTAGTCTCTGGGCTCGGGGCATCCAGAGCTTTCAGGTCATCAGCGGCTGAGTTTGTATCAGCTGCCACCTCCTCTGTAGGGGGCTCAGGAGATGGTGCCTTGGAGGGAGAGGGCTGGGCCTGGGACACAGTAGTGTGGGCACCTCTGCGAGGTACAGGCGGGGGTGTGGGTGAGCAGCTGGGACCTAGTTCAGAGGGGCTGGAACCAGTATAGAGTGTGTCCATGGAGATGCTGCTGGCTGATGAACCACTAGACACAGAACTACCTCCAGAGGGCACGGTTGTGCGGCCACCTGTGAACAGAAAGTAAAAGCTAAGCTGGGGCAACCTGTTGGGGATACCCATGCCTCTTGGCCTAGAGGACCTGACCCTAGTATAAGACCCAGTTCTTCTACTAGGCCTTATCTCCTCACCAAGCCTGGAGGCTTCAACTACCCAAACATGGAGACTCTATATTTACCCCAAGTTCAGAGCTCCCATTTGCCCAACATGGGCAGATCAATCATTCCAAGCACAGGGTACTTCCATCCCAATTACCCAAGCCTGGCCCTCTCACCACTCCCTGAGATCACCAGGGCCTCACGGTCTCGGCGCTTCACTGGTGGGGGTGGGGTGGCAGGTGCTGCTCGTCGAGGCTGTGGTGGAACCTGGGAGAACAGAATTGGGATCTAGGGGAGGACAGGCTGCTAGCTGCACCTGTGACCCAAGCAGACCCTTTGAGTCGCTGGATGAAGCCTTAGTCCCACACACCTCCTTCTAAAAAAATACCCTCACTCCATACCTGGTAGAGGGCTCCATCTGTCCCAAGATGCTCAGAACTGGGCAGGCTATGCTGCCGTTCAAATCCAGTTCGACATACCCCATTGGGCTGCCTAGATACAGCAGCATCCAAATGGTGGTCACTGGTGGATGGGGTCATGACCGAAGCACTGGAAGCTGAGGTGCCCCTTCGAGACAAGGTCTCTTTCCGGTGATGGATAAGCTTCCTAATAGAGAGACAAGCAAAACAGAACATGGTGGGAAGGTTCTTCCCTACTCCTAAAGTGTATACACACACACACACACACACACACACACACACACACACACGTACATGTATATACACACATGCACGCACACACTCACACACATATACTCTTTCTCTCTCATACATGCGCTCTAAAATAACTATTGTTTAAAAGCCTCTGTGGGATTCTGGGACCTCATCCATCTTTCCTATCATCCATCCTCATCTGTGGAACCTCACACCAATCCTAGTACTGCCTCCACAGTATCTCTGGCCTTACTGAAGGAGCCTCCCCACCAACATGCTCAAGGGAAAGTTATTACCTCCACTTCCCAGATACTCACTGAAGGACTCCACGCTGTTCCAGGCTGTACTTGCCACCATCTCGCATGGCTGTGTTATGCACAGCCTCAATGGCCCGGTCAATAGCTTGGAGGACATCTTGCTCCATGCCCTAAAGGTAGGTGGGATGCCAAGTGAGGTTGGGTCAGCCCAGACCCAGCCCAGTCTGGAACTAGCCTAGAATTCTTGACACTAGAAGACAGTCAAAACGGAATCCAGAATGAAGTGCTCATATCCTGTCGCTTGGGAAGCAGGGGCACAGGGCAGTCTCTGTGGTGGTATTTTACATTTAGAGGCCCCCTTGGGAGTTTATCCCATACACGGGCTCTTGGCAAAGACAGTCAGTCCTAAAACACTATAGGTCCAGAGAGAAACAACAGGAATCCAGACTGGGACCAGGAGTGTAAACCCAGCCGATCCTTGGGCTTGGCTCAGAGCCCAGAGTGAGACGCCAAAAGGAAGACTCCCATGTCTGGAATCCGTAATCAGTCACTCTGGATGCTGATCCTTCACAAAACCAAGGTCATACTCCAAAACAGCCTTTTCTCCATAGGGACCTTCCCAAGCACTGGGAGATAAGAACAGGTCAAAAAGACGTCCCCTCCATCCTCCCAAGCTGTCCCACCACTTTTTCAGATCACCTTTGGGAAGGCACTCTGTGCTTATGGTAAAGGAAGGACTTGAAAGACTGGCCTGCTTCCTGGCCTATGTTGTCCTCCTCAGTAACCCAGAGTCCATTCTACTCCACTGTCTGGCATGGAGGGAAATGTATATTACAGCTATGGGACTGGCCAACTGTGGGACAGGAACCCCAGAGCAGACCTGAACACACTCTAGGGTACAGTTTTGTTGTCTGTTTTGGTTGGCTGGGAGGCTGGTCTTTTGAGATGAGAATCTCTGCAGCCCAAGCTGCTCTGGAAGTTGCTATGTGGCCCAGGCTGGCCTGGAACTCAAGGTAATCCTCCTGAAGTCTCAGACTGTAGACATAAATCATGTTTAGTTCCAGAGTGAGTTTAACAAGCTTCCATGATAAGGTCAGATAAGTATAGGGGTCAGCAAAGTCCTTCAGGTGCCAGAAGGTGTGTGGGTATATGGGTGGGGCGGGGAGACACAGCTCCAGTGACAGCAAGAAATGAGACTGAAATTCACAGAGGCAGGAGAACTGAGACTAGGGGTATGCTGAAAGAAACAGGAAGTGATCAGAGAAAGAAGAGTTCTTTCTTTCCTTCCCAAACCCCCAGCCCCACTGACCCTGACTGAAGCAGAGGCTCCACAGGCCCTGAGGAAGAGGCAGGGCTTCCCTAAAGTCTCCAAAGAGACCCTGGTGCTCAAAAGGCTGAACTGGGTGTGACACCGTTTAAATTTTCTCCCCTCAAACACCTCTAGAGGAGACTAAGGGTCTGTGAGGAGGGCCCTAGACCAAGGGTCTCTCCCCTTTGGCATGACCAGATGACATTTCCAAATTTACCACAGTATTTCTGTCCTTAACTGGGCTGGGACAGGATGTTTCCATAGCTAGGGACTGGGGCAGGGCAGGAGTCTGGAACAGCCCAGACTGCCGTTTGTCCCCCTTCCTCCTACAGTCAGAATAGGCTAACTGGAGACATTGCAGCACTGCCGGACTACTCTTGAGCAAACAGGAACTGGAGCAGTCTCCACTGGAAGGAGACCAGGCCATCTTCAGAACAGGGGAAGCAACGGAGGAGGCTCACTTCCTCACAGTGTGGACAGCTCCCATTCCCGGATGGAGCTCCCAGATTTCAGAGGAAGGAAATCTGAGAAGTCAGGAGAAGACGCTTGGGGGAAGTGGAGACTGTACCAGGGAACCTTGGTCAGCAGGGGCCAGGGGCCTTGGTTTCAAAAGGGTTGGGGAAATTGGCCTTAGGGAGATCTTATAGGTGGGCGAGTTCAGGACAGAGATTCGACAGGAATTGGGAATCGCATAAGGGACGGGAATTCGTGTGGCTCTGGGGTCCAAGTGTGTGGGTGGGGTGGGGACTAAGAACCTGGAGGGTGGTTGAAACAGGTGGTGTATGAGGTGGCACAGTTAGTGGAGGGCACAGGGGTAAAGGTGGAGCCTACAAATTGACAGGGAGTCTGGTATCCTAGAGATTCAGAGAAGGGCAATAATAATAAGGGTTTGGGGGTGGGTGTAAAAGAGACTCAGGTAATGAATGGACTGGAGTCTCTGGGTCCAGCTCGAGAATTCTATGCAGATGGAGGCTCTGATTATGGATGCGAGAGAGCCTGAAGTCCCAGTTCCAGAATTAAGCTTTTCACAGGCCTACGGTTAGATGTCAAAGGCCTAGTCTCTGGTGGGTGTTGATGGCCCCCGGAGGGGTCTCACTCCTTATGGTTTTGGGGACTTAAGGTCAGATTCTCAAACTCCTTGTCTGGTAGAAGTCCCGAAGAATATGACTGAGCTTTCTGGATCAGTCCTGCGTGCTGGTGAAGGGGTTCGGTCGAGAGGCCTGGGAGGGAGGGACACACTCACCTGCAGGCGATGCAGGTAGGCAGGCGGCACGTACCCGGTCTCGCCACTGCGCGCCCGTGCCGCTAACCACCAATGCGTGCTGCTGCGCTCCAGCACCAGGAAGGTCTCGCCTGCAGCGAACGCCATGGCGTTGGGCTCCGCGGAGCGGAACGCATACAGCGCGCGGTACATGAGGCCGGGCAGGGCCGGGCCGGGCCGGGTCGCTCAGCGCAGCGCGGGTGCTGGGTACACGACGAAGGTTACGGTGCCGGGAAGCCAGGCCCTAAGTGCCGCCGCGCCGCGCTCGCCCCGCCCCGCCCCGTGACACACCACGCGTGCGCATGCGCGACTACCGGAACTCCGCCCCAGGAACGAGCCGGCTCCGGCATTGGAGCGCCGCGCCCCCTCGCGGCCCGAGGAGGTTTGGCGGGGCGGGGTGGTGCCCCAGTGTCTCTAGTTCCTTCAGGCCTCAGACTCCAGTCAGCTGACTTAGGGTCCTAACTCCCTCTTCCTGGCCTTCCTCCTCCTTTCCCAGCTCAGGTGCAAGCGCTGAGTTCCTTCCCACCTCCTGATGAAGGATGCTTATAGCCAGTGCGTCCCTGGGGACGGGATATGTCGCTTTGCTTTGAGGAATCCTGATCAGACATTTCAAAGTCCTTCTTGGGGAGAGGTCTCCCAGCGCATCTAGGCCTTACAATGCCTTAGTACAAAGTCCCTACTCTGTCCCTGAGGTGGAGGACAAATGTGGAGGATGAGGGACTGTCCAAAATGCATCTTAGCTACCTACCACATACACACTCCCTTCAGCCACTGGCTTCCTTCCTTTCTATCTTGAGTCTTGCATCTGTTCTATTTGAACGCTCCCTTCTGGACCACGCCCCAACTTGTCAGTGACTATCCTTTTGCCATTTTGTTGTCACAAAGGATTCAAAAGTCTATGGCCTAAGGTCATATTCATATCAATCTGTGTGTATACTTGTATCCCCCGTTTTTGTTTTTGTTTTTTTAAAGCAGTCTGTTACCTAATCCTGTCCTGCCTCAACATCACAGACAACACTTCTGGGAAGAGAAGGGCAGAAAGCTGGTAGGGTAGGGATTGAACGCATGAGGTTTAGAAAACATGTTTTAAATCCTGAATGGTGGCGTAATCCTAGCATCCAGGAGGCAGAGCTGGAGAAAGCCAAGATCAAGATCAGCCTGGGCTTCATAGTTAAGACTCTGTCTCAAAGAAAGAAAAAGCATCCTTGACCTTCAGTTTAATATTCAACCTAGTCCTCCAAATCTTTGAAATCCTTGACGTCCCTGGGTCCCAGTGAAGAGGGCCTAAAAAAGGGTCCTTGCATACTCTCCATTGAAAGCCTTTATCTAGGGAGCATAGGCTATACATACCATCAGACATGTTTTTCAAGGCAAGGTCTTACTGTGTAGTTTTGGCTGTTTTGGAACTGTGGACACCAGGCTGGCCTCAAATTTAATGATCCATCTGCCTTTGCCTCCCAAATGCTGGGACTTAGGGCATGTGCCTGGCTTCCCTACCATCTACCCCGAAAGACAAGGTCACACTAGCACCCCTGACATGAAACTAACAGCAATCCAACTGTCTCTACCCTGAGCACTTAAAAGATGAACCAGACTACACCTAGACTTCACTAATCTGTTTTTAGGCATGGTAGAGTTAGGCCCAGTGGGATGACAAGAACTTGATATCCAGATCCTGGCTTTTACACACACACACACACACACATGCTTCCAGATGCTTCCAGGCATACAGCAGTGGTAGCTCTTTGGGGTTGTGCTGGCTGGGTTTTGGGAAGATAAGGCTGGTGTGCTTACAGGACTGCTGAGTAGGAGTGGTAGCAGTTGTTGAAGCCAGGACTGACCATGGCTACCAATAAACCAGAGACTTGTGACTACTTGAGACCCCAGCATGGGGTCCAGGATATCTGAATTACTGTGACCAGCCAATTAATTACTTGCTGCCAATTACCTAGACGAAATCAAAAGCTGGACCCAAGGCTTAGAGCACCTGTTGTCCAACTTCTCCTTAAGCTTCGTAGGGCCATGGGAAAACCTATACCAATTGTACTTTTGTGTAGGGTGGTAGACACCCAGCCAGCACAAACCACAGTGACCTGGCTAAGGAGTGCTAGACTGGGACACTTTAGACAAAGCCAAGCCTTTGTAATGAGTGGGTGGCAGGCCTGGGAGGGCACACCACAAGGTGTGACTCTGCAGGCTGGGAGGGAGTCTGCATGCTCTTAGAAAGAATGACAGCATCACTGCATACAATAAACAAAAAGATCTGTATTAGAACATTTACACTCAGGGAAGAGGTATCTGCATCATCAAATGTGGAATGTTGAAGAAAGTTAAAATAAATAAAAGGCTCCGAGCGAGTCTGGGACCGGCTCAGGCTGGGGGGTTTGGGGGGACACAGGGGCCACTGTCTTATCAGCTCCAGGCTGCAGAGGCCAACACCCAGCCATACTGGCCTGCTTCCTGACAGCACAGCTGCAGGGGGGACACAAAGAGTCTCTCAGGTACTGGAATAGCCAACAAGCTCACTCTCCACTCTCCTCACTTATCTCTGTGACAATGTCTATCAGGCTCTGCAGCCCAAAGATATAGCCAGCATCCTGGCCCTCATGCACCACACTGTCCTCGCCATACAGCCTGCAGGTGGTGTGTGCAAAGTCGATCATGCGCACGTCCACTGAGCTGGCACCGATGGGCTTGTAGGCATAGGCACCAGCAGACTCATCAGCCGACTCTTCGGAGAGGTCCTCCAAGTCCTCAGCATCTGAGTCCAGGGTCACTTCTGGCCACTCCTTGCCATCATAAATGACCAGTAGGGAACTTGAATAGAAGCGGTAGGATTCCTGTCGCTCCAACACGGCCTTGAGCTCAGTTAGCTTCTTGAGCACAGGGCCCAGGAGCTCGCGGCGCAGGTACCGGCCATTGTGAAAGAACTGGAAAAGTGCCTCCTTGAAGCCCTGAACCGAAAGCTTCCTCCCATGGTACTTGTTCATGAACATGAGTTGCCCAGTGCCTGCCTGGTACACCTATGAGAAAGACCAGCAAGTCAGGGTCAAAGGGCTACTTCAAGACCTAGCCACTGGGTGAATGCAGGAGATGCAACTGGCTGATAAGATCCTGTAACGTGAGTGTACACACGACCTATCACCTAGGCTGTTACTGTACTCAAGCCCCCTATTCTGCAACTAGATGAACAGAGGTGGTTTAACTTTGCATCCTAGTACATGGACACATGCTACGGACTCAGCCATCCAGACTAGCTTCTGGGGCTCAAGTAGGCATACATGCTTTCTTTTTTAATCAGAAAGCAACAAACTCGGGTAAGGCCAAACCTAGAGCTTGTTTTTTTTTTGTTGTTGTTGTTTTTTTACTTTGTAATTCTTTTTTAATGCTGAAGATCAGATCCAGGGCATGTGTATATAAGGTAAACACTCTACCATTGAGCTTATCTTCAGCCAGCTGAAATGTTTTGTTTTGGGTTCTGGTACTGAACCCACAGCCTCATGCATGCTGGGTGCACTCTCTACTGAGATGTATCCCTACTAAGTGTCTGTTTGCTGTTTTAAATAAAGCATACTGAACGTATTAAGGGCAAGTGGAGGAGATGGAGTGGGAGGAGTTCTAAGGGGGAAGTATCCACAATTTGAACTCTTATGAACATTTCAGAATGTAACACCACAGTGGACACCCTCGTAGTATCTGAGCACACTCACCTGCATGCCACACACTCGAACACCAATGACAGCAGATGTGCTCTGCTGACATTTTCGGATCTGGTTAGCTGCTTTTTCCTCTGAAGCATCATCACCATGCTGGCGTGTGCCCATCTTGAGGTCCAGGACACAAGGCACCTCATAGCGGGAAGTCAGGTTCTCCAGTAAGATGAATTCTGAGTGGTTAAGGGCAATAGCCCAGAATGAAGTATCTGCACATAGTGTCTCAAGAAGCCTAGGCCTACAGGACACTCATCCATTAGTTGTACTCCCATGGACGGAGTTCAGGGCTGAGGAGAGGGCTGAGGCAACCCTGCTTGGTTTGTCAGGAAAGGAGGATAAATACAACAGCCAGTGTATAGGCTCAACACAGGCCTAGGGCCCTCAGCCAGACATACACATACTATTTTCCTGAACTTAGCTTGGTAAAAGAGTGCAGTTTAACAGCACACTGTCTTCAATTATAAATGTTACCAGCAAATACGATGGATAAATCCTATAGCCTGAAATATAACTATGAGTACTATGAAAATATACTTTAATTGTAAAAAGGTCTGCTTACTAGCCGAGTTTAGAAAGAATGAATAACCCTAGATAGCTTGAGATAGGGTTTGACTGTGCAGCCCTGGCTGGTGTGGAACACACTTTGGGTTCCAGGCCTGTATGACCATGCTTGGCTGTGAGTGCCCACAGTACTGTTTCATCATTCCCTAGTTATCAGGGACCAGTGCTGGCCAGAACAGAAATCAGTAAACTATAGCCCACAGTTGTACAGTTTATAACCTAGGAATGGACTTTACATTTCTGGAGTGCAGGGGTTGTACCTGCTAGGTAAGTACTCTACTACTAAGTACTCTACTACTAAGCCATAGCCTGTTTTCCTTTTTTTTTAAATTGAGACAGAGCCTCACTGTGTGGCCCCAGCTGGCCTGAAACTAACAGATCCACTTGCATCTGCCTCCTTAGTGTTGGGATTAAAAGCACATGCTACCATACCCAATTATTATCACTATTATTATTTTATTTAAAGATTTCTAGCCAGCATGGTGGTGTACAATTTTAATCTTAGTCTTCAGAAGGTAGAGGCAAGAGGATCTGTGTTCAAGGCCAGCCTGATCTACAAAGAGAACTCCAGGACATCTAGGACTACATATAGAGACCCAGTCTCAAAACAACAACATCAACAACAACAACAAAAGGGAGGGAGGGAGGGAGAGAGGGAGGGAGGGAGGGAGGGAGGGAGGGAGGGAGGGAGGGAGGGAGGGATCTCTAAAGCCTGTGTATCTCTTTGTGTCTGTACTGGTTTGTGCATGTCAGTACTAAAAGAGAGTGATGATTCAGATTCTCTGAGCCGGAGTTACAGGTGGTTACGAGCCACCTAGTTGGATGCTGGGAACTGGTCTAGTGGTCTCCAATAGCAGTGTGAACTCTTAAACACAGAGCTATCTTACCAGCTCAAAATTTACATTTTTAATGCAAAATATGTAATACTTCATCAAATGTATCAAAATATACAATACTTTATGACCTAGGAACATGATGGTCAAGGCTGGAAAATAGCTTGCTTGTATACAATCCTGATGACCTGTCTGGATCCTCAGAATTCATGTAAAATCTGGATATGGTTGCATATGTCTATAATCCCAGCATGTTTAAGATGAGACATGAGGTGATAGCAGCAGAATTTCCTGGAAGTTTGAGGACTGGATAGGCTGGAGTAAGTACACAGAGTCGTGCCAACCAGATACTGCCTCAAATAAGTTGGAAGGTGAGGATGGACCCAAGGCTGTTCAATCTCTATAGGCTACCATGGCATCACATACCCTCATACACACATACCCACATGTGTCATACATGAAAATATCTTTAAAAGAAAAGGTTTGGTTATAAGTAACTTTCAAGTTTTATTAGAATGTAGCTACACTAATTCGTTTATATGAATGTCTCCGGATGTTGCTGTAGTGGCAGAGTTGTGAGAAAAGACTGTATGGCTTACAAACCATGAAACACTTACTGTTTAGTTCTTAACAGAAAAGGTTTACTGATTTCTGCCTTTAAAAGGTTAAGTTAGCTTCTGGGACAGCAAATATACATGGTCATCTCCTAGGCCATCTTTTTCAAACCAGAAAGACAACAATTAAAGACTGTTGAACTTGGGACATTTAGGTTATCAGTAAATGGGCTGGAGATATGGCTCAGCGAGAGAGAGCTTGTCTAGCATGCCCAAGGCCCTGGGTTTGATCACCAATATCACAAAGCCTATACTCAATAAAAATATATCTAATATGCCTAACTCATGTATTCAAAATGATGCTAAAAATCTTACTGTGATGGACACCTCTGGAGGATTAGGTCCCACTTATTCATTATTCCAAACATCTACTAATCAAAGGAAAGCAAACAATCTCTCTTTCCAACTGTAGTGCAGGGTTATTCCTTATGACTAACAAAATTAGAAAATTAGAAAATCACCTGTTGAAAAAGTGGATCTAAAACAATGACTGAAAAAGCAAACACCACGCTTCCTAATGGAAAACTTGGGATTCCCAACGATTCCCAGGATTCTTGCTTGTAGCCCCTGAAGAACTGAAGCTGAACCTGATCAAGTCTTTGGATCTAAATAACAATTTACTGTAAGAGAGGAGATCACATGTAAAAGACACCCAACAGATGTGCTCAGTAAGATCCGGATCACAGGAAACCCCACGCTCTTTCTTTCTAATGTGCACATGTGTGTGTTAGTGCAGAAGAACTCTACATGTCAGGTATGTCGGGTACCTTCTCTATTACTTTCCACCTTATACAGTGAGATAGGTTTCTTCATTGAACCTGGAACTCACTAACTGACTCAACCAGCTGGCTGGCGAGTTCCAGGAGTCTTCCTGTCTCTGTCCTCTATCAATGGTTGCCGACCTGTGCTGTCATGCTGATTTTTTTATATTGGGGATCCAAACCCAGGTCTTTGTGCTGTAGAGAAGCCTTAACTAACCACAGAGACATCTTCCTAGTCCTGACCCTTTACTGGTTCTGGCAAGAAATCTCTAAAAAGAAAAAAATGGAAATAATATTTTAAAAGTTTCAAATACTTCAAATCCAATGCTATATTAAGAATTCTATATGGATCTGCCCCTTAAACTAACCAACAATAAAAAGACATTTACTAAGACAAGTAGGAAAAATATGAACGTGAAATAGGCATATTCTCTCTCTCTCTCTCTCTCTCTCTCTCTCTCTCTCTCTCTCTCTCTCTCTCTCTCTCTCTCTTTTTCCTCTGCCCCTTCTGAGACAATGTTTCTCTGTTTATCCCTGGCTGTCCTGGAACTTGCTCTAGAGACCAGCTGACCTCTGTCTCCCAAGTCCTGGAATTAAAAGTGTGCACCATCACCACCCAGTGAAATAGGTATTTTATAGTAAAGAATTACTCTCTATGTTGGTAAGTAAAATGGTATCGATGTTTTAAAATATTTTTGTGGCTGTGTGCACATGTTCACACGTGTGTACTTATGTGTGGAGAGCAGAGGCTGCACTGCTGTATTCTTCCATCACTTCCCACTTTTTTTTTTTTTTTTTTAAAGACAGGGTCTTACAAAGAGCCTGGTACTTAATGATTTGGCTAGAGTGGCTAGCTAACGAGCCCCAGGGATCCTCCTGTGTCTGCCTCCCAATGCTGGGATGATAGGTGTATCCAGCTGCTACATGGATGCTGGGAAGCAAACTGGTCCTCATATTAAAATATTTTACCTTTTGGGGATACATGATAAGGTATAAACAGAGAAAATGATATATCTCAGACTTACTTCACAATCAAATTTAGGAAAATAATTAAAAACTGAACAAGGGTAAGTTATCTATTTAGCCCAATGGTAAGAGGGTTTGTTTAAATTGATGAATCCCCAGTATCAAAAAAAGAAAAATAAAAAAGTAAGCTGTCATCTGTCCCCAAGATCTAACATGATAACTGGAGCCCTCATTCCTCATCAAGGAAAACTCCTCTTTCCAGAAAACTACCACTAACCAAAATGCAGCGCTGTGGTGCCCAGTCCCAATGAACACATTTACAAAACAAGTCCTGCCCCTAAGTCTCAGGGAACAGTGAGGAGGGGCAGAAGGATTGCAAGAGGCAGAGGATCCGGGAGCTTAACCTGAGACTGAGCCTCCCAGGAATCTCAGACGCTAGGCTCATCAAGTCTCACCAACATGAGCCTGCACATGAGCTCAACAAGGACAGTGACAACAGAAGGTCTGTCCAAGTGGACAAGGTTAAGTCCACAGGCCTCAATGCTACACAAAGAATTGTAGGTAAGGGATGCTGGGAGTCGGAGATATAGTCTTCCCCAGGGAAGAACACGCCAATTGGTTATCAAATATCAAATGGTCAGCTGTAAAAACATAACTTAAAAAAATGTCAGTTGTGGAACACTGGGGCATAGGCGGACAGTCATGACATGAGATTGAATAACAAGTAGTTAGGAATTCTATTCTTAACATTTTTTCCTTATAAAAAAAAATATGAGGAATTTCATCATACAATATAAAAAAGAGAAAGAGAGGCCCTGGGGAAGAGGACACCAGTGCAGTGATTCAGTGAGCCACAGGACGGGAAGAACAGACTCCTGCAAGCTGTTCTCCCTCCTCTACACACACTGGCGAGCTCCTGACCCAGCCAAATCCTGGCCTGGGTGCAAAAAAACAACCAAACAAAAAATATGAGTCCAGTGAATGGAAACTTAACAGAAAGGGAAAAAATGATCCTGGTACTTTCTTTGTACGGTTTGTGTGGGCAGATTCATTCCCCTCAACTGGGCAGACAAAAATCTGTGATACATTCTACAGCAGTCTGCAAACAGGGAGCAGCAGCCTCCTGGTAACCTAGGCTAAATAAAGCCCATCCTGTGTAAGATGGCTTCTTCTTCTCTCTTACCTGTACTCTGAAACCAGGTTCTATTCCTAAGAGAGGTGACAGCTGCCCAATTATCACAGTTTCCTGGACACAACTCTAATAGAGGAAACTAACCATAGCTAACACAAAACAAAACCAAGGCCCATTAGATGGCTCAGGTGGTAAAGGCACCTGCCACGGAGTCTTGATGACCTGAGTTCAATCCTTGGAACCTGCTTGGTAGAAGGAGTTGCCCTCTGACTCTCTCATTTTGCTGTGGTACATACATGTACATGTGAGCACACACACCCACACCTCAGAACGGAACACTTCAGGATCAGTGGCAGGCACTTGTAAGCCTAGTAATTAGAAGAGTGCTCTAGTCCTGCAGAGCTATACATAGACCCTGCTATCACAAAGCAACCAACTACCCAATCTGCTTCCCAAGTTCTCTCTCTAAGCTTCCCTCGCTGCTTCTCCTGTCTCCGAGGAGGAAGAGCCTTTACAAAGGATACTGTACTGGTTTCGATGCTTTGCGTTCTCCTTCATTCTCTGTAACTGCTGTTGATGACATTTCATGCTCCAAGGGTTATAGTGTTTAAGCTGGGAACTTATATTTCCCTTCTTTTCTACACTGTAGTATAAGACTTCAGATTTCTTTAGCCACTCAAATTCTTCTTCTAACTTATGGCTATAAAGAAATAAGAATTCAATAAATCATAATATATTACCAAAATTAAATATGAAATAATGAAGCACATATCAAGAGTGACGGAAATTTATTGGATATGCAATGTACAAATGTATGCTGCCCACACTCATCACACATTTCAAATGCATGCATTTTATCATGTGTATCTTTAGAGAGCTGATTAAAAATGTTAAAGGGGAGCAGTCTACCACCAACTTCTATAGCAAGATACAACAATGACTTTTCTCTCCCCAACTTATGAGGTAGGCAGCCTTCAATCCTGTTCCCAGGTACTATGATTCCTGGTCTGGTCCATAAGTCCCCCTATGGGACTTATGGGGAAAAGTGAAGTGAAATTATACTGGAATCAGTCAGTCTACTTAACCACATTACATACTTTACACTTTTACTTTATATTCCCCCAAATTTCTGTCAACCTGTGGGACTTCTATGGTCCTGCCTACATGGGACCCCACTTTTACAAAGGCTACCTGATCATTCTGTCTCCCACCATTAGTAAGCAACCTGAAGTCAAAGAATGGCTCTAGTCTACTAGCCTGGCAGGAAGGAACTATCAATTGTGGAAGGAATGAGTCAGTTTCTTTTATAGCTGCCACTTCAGCCTTTTATGTTCAAAGGCATGTTCTAATCTAGAGCCAATTAGAGACAGCAGATGTGTGGTACCAGCCACCCAGTCACCTACAGGTCCACCCTGAGCTCCTGGCTGCAGGAAACTAGGCTATAACCAAGCCCCCAACATGACCTCTCAGGCTTCACCCACCTCTTCATCTTCTCCTCTTTCCGGTGCTGGCGTACCCAGTCCTTGGGATTCTTTTCTGTTTCTAGGACATGATGCTTTTTGTTTGTCCATCTTAGCAGCTTACTTTTTGGTTCACAGTCTGAATTGTCTACAATATCCACAGTTCCATGGTCCCCCTTTAATGGATATGCTATTAAACACAAGTTCCTGTCTTCATCTTCTTCAAAGCACACAGATACCACACCTGAAAGGGGGTGAGGAGCAGAAACAACTTTTAATTCCACAGAAAAATGCATTCTAGATAACATGATTGTAACATTTGTTTTGTTTCTTACCCTGTTCCTTAGTCTCTATGTTGCCAGAGGCCCCAAACTCATCTGCAAACCTAACAAATATCAAAACAGCTAGAAAAAAGTGACACCATACAAGACAAGCAATTAGGGAGCAAACATGGCCGAGAGACTTCCTCTCTAATGCACTCAACAAGGGAAAGCAAGGGCCAAAGAATTACAAGACACATTTTTCCATCATTGAAAATGTTTATTAATTTTATGTAACTCTTCGAATCCCAAGAGAGACACAAAAACATTGCTCTATATAGCTTATGAAAATGTTTATGCCCTCAACAGAAACTCCGACGGCCTGAGGCTTGTTTTAAAGCAGAGCCTGACTGCAGGGGAACATGGATGCCCTCAGGTGAAGGCACTGAGGGTGAGGGAAGACTGGGCAAGCAAAGCAAAATAAAGCAGCAAACAATCCACACAGCACAGACACCCTGGCAAAGGCTTCCAGAAGCCTACGTGGTGGGTGAGCCAAGCCTTTTGTCCTTCTCAGTTATGCGTTTATTGATTTTTGTAGTTTGTGTCACAAAAGAACAAAATGAACACCAGCAGATGAGGGGGCAGGAACACAGACACACATGGTAGCCTTGAAAGCAGCTCTCCCTTTTGAGTCTCTAGGACCTGCCATGTGTAACTGGACAGTCTTTGAGGAAGGGGCTGTCAGGTGGGAGCACTTCAGCGGTGCCGACGAGCGCCTTACAACCGACTGGCTGAACACCTTTTCTCCTAGGCCTCTCTGCCCCACGATCACTCAATCTGCTCAGTCCTTGCTGCCCGCCCGCTTGCTTGCTGCAGGGGAATGCGTGCTCAGAGAGAGACGACACTTCTGAGGTGGCCCCAGCTCTGGGCGCAGAGGAGCGGGAGTGGGGGGAGTGTCAGGGGACCACACTTCCCTGTGGGCATAAGGAACGACCAAGGGGATAAAAACGGGGCAGGGGTGGCCAGCTAACAAGGGAACTTTGGCTTTGTCCTGGAAAAAAATAACAGAAAAGGACCAAGTGAGGGTCCCCAACACCCGCAGTCCCACCACATGCATTTCCAAGTAGAGAGAGGTAACCCAGTCCACCCTGTCTTTAAAGAACAATTGTGTCCCAGGAGAACCTAAGTTGTCCTAGTCTTTTTTATACCTGGTAACGCACATTTAAAATTAATTTAATGAGTTCTCTTCTGATTTAACAAAAGATTCCTCCCCTCCCCAGGAAAAACCTCACCATGCTGGTGGCTGACGTTCCCTCAAAGCATATAATTATAAAAAGAGAAAAAGTCACTACATGTGAATCAAAGCGTTGCCTTCACACAGCAATTCTGGGGACATTCCGTAACAGCAAAGGGCTTGAGTTGATTGTACAATCCTCCCACTCCTGCATTCCATCTGACTCAGCCCTGCTCCCAGCCTACCTAATCACCAGGGCTTCTGTTTCCTGGAGGACAAAAAGCAGGCATCAAGAATTCTGTGTATAATCCTCCTAAAGTCTTCCCGAACTGTTCCCACATGGGGACTTTGGGTTACCTTGAGCAAGAGACACCTGAACATAAAAAAAATAACTATACTTCTACCAAAACCAAACTCAAAGCAAATCCAGAAAACGAAACAATTGAGCAATCTTACCAGGGCTTGAAAACTGAGGGTGAGGTGCTGGGCTGAGGGCCAAGAGGAGGAGGAGGAGGAGGAGGAGGAAAACAAAAGGGTAAATGGGAGGTGGGGAGGGCTCCCAGGACGCTGCCAGAGCCTTCCACTGGCAAAATCCCTTACATGTCAGCATCCTGGCGAGCGCTCTAGCAGCTGGGGGCTCACCTTTATACTGGGGAGTGAATCTGCGCATCTCAGCTGGGAGGGTCTCGTAGAACTGATGCTCCCTCGGAACCAGGGGCTTGCACAGGGTTGTCTCATTGAATCGGAGAACGCATGAATGCCCCCCAACCTGGTGGACAAAGGGCTCCAGCAGGATGCCCTTGGTGCGGGGCTCCACGTCCATGGCCCTGAAGGCTGGGCTCATTCTCCGGACACAGGCAGCAGGGAGGAAGGGGAGGCAGCGGGGTCCAGAGGCCAGCTCGTCCTCCGTTTACTGTCTGTCCTTACAGCCGCCTGTTTGATCTCTGCTCCTCGGTTTGTGCAAGCCAGGACACTCTGGCGGAAGCAAACACAATGATGACATGAGATTTGGAAGCAGCCTGGGAACCACCTTACAGTCAGCCAGTCGACTGATCTACTCAGCAGGAAGACAAACGCCTGAGCTTACATAGGGCTCCGCCCACACTGCCTATCCCTGCCCCGCCTTCTTCCAGGAGAGACAAACACTGGGAGAGAGAGGGGGAAGTACGGGTGGGGCAGATACTGATGGGCAAAGACTGGGTTCCAGGGTCCTAAACTGCCAAACCCAGCCACCACAGCAGGCAAAACACAAAGCCACAATGGCGTAAAAGTACAATTTCCAACACAGTATTCAGATAAAACCTTACAATTTTATAATTAAGGTTGTCATGCTTAAGGATAAATGGTTAAGTTACTCTGCTAATTATATTTTTATAAAGTGGACTGTAATACAGAGAAAACCAATTTACGTATTGTTTAATACGATTTACTCTCTCAGGGTGTCCACAAACACTGCCCCTTGCCCAAAGTCAAAGCCAAGCCCCATTAACCTTATTAGCAATGGAGCTCTGAACCCGCTTTAATGATTAACGTCTGTATCTAAAAACAACTGATTGAAGCTGGCTAACTCCATTTAAAAAGATACACAGTGTTCTAGGTCACCAACTATTTTTATCGGTTCTATCCTGATCACCAAATGCTGAGGCACACCTTTAAACCAACGTTGTGAGGCAAAGTTGAGGCAATCTGACTACAGGAAAGAATGTATACATTCTCTGACACAGTCTGAGCTTGCTAAAACAAGAAAGCTAACCTATTCCAGTGTTCTCTTCCCCAGGAGGCAAGCTGTCATATAGGCTCAAAGAATAAAAAGAATTCGAACATTCTATTATTCCAATCACCTCTCTTCAAAAGATGGGGCCCTGTTGTACCTCAGGACTTAACCTCTTTCTCCGTTTCTACAGACTTCCTGAGAAAGCGATACCAAAGGGGAGCTACTGACTCATCAGCTATCAGAATCACATAGGTCAGGGACCATACTTATTAAACAGAATACAGCATGCTCCCCAATATACAAGCCTTGGAAACATAATCCAAAGTCTTTGTCAAGATATAAATCTGCTTTTGCTCCAAGGGTAATGCTAGGTACCAGGCAGGTCCCACAGTTGGGAGGCTGGTGCAAGGGGCCTGCCACAAATTCAAGGCCAGTTTAAACTAAACAAGAGTTTTCCAAGTCTCTTGAAACCACACTCCCCCTCCAAAAAAGATGGCTCAATACTGTTCATATAAGCCCAATACACAAGCCAATGACCTGAGTTCGTCCCAAGAAGCCATGTAAAGGAAGAAGGAGAGACTAGGTTCCACAGAATTCTCTCTGACCTCCACATCTGTGCCCATACAAACACACATCACACATACACTAGTAATAGTTTTAATACCCCCAAAGGACAGGAGCAGTAACTTAATCAAGATGATCACTTGAATAAAATCCCCAGAACACATAACCTACACAGACACTGGACCTGGTAAATCCTGCTTGGAATTCAGTGTGGGGAGGCTGGAGTGGGAGGAGTCTTGGGGCTCACTGGCCAGACAGCCTAACCTCATCATGGTGCTCTAGCACGAGAGGCCCTGCCTTGAAAAACCAAGGTGAACAATTCCTAAGAAAGCACCAGAGACTGACCTATGGATTCTATACTAATGTGCACCTGTACACACACATGCATCCATATAAACATGCATGCATACATGTGTGGCACAAGTGCACTGCATCACACATGCACATGCACACACTGCATACTACTCAAATGTATTCAACTAAGAAGAGTATCTTTCCATCTACCCCTCCAATGAAACATTTCCAATGGTTCCATGGCATCTCAGCACACAGTACAGTGTGCTGTACTGTACATGGTGTGGTCAGAGGCTGAAAGGCCCGCAAGATTCTCTACCTCCTCTCCTAGGTCTCCAAAGTATGATTAGTATGATTAGTCGCTAGACATAAATGGCAGCTTTGCCACCTCCACATCCTCCCCGCCCTACTCTTTCTTTTCCCTTCCCTGAGCCAAATCTGATGACAGAGAAAACTTCTGAATACGAAGTGGAACTAGAAACTGATTAGCCTGGGGTGAAATGGAGCCAGACTACGTCACTCAATTGACTGGGGAGCGACTCCAGTTCTTGGTTCCCTTTTTCCTTTGGGAATCATTTTCGGGTCCATAAAATAGACTTGGAGTAGACCTCTGCTCCTCCGGTTGTAACCACCAAGAGCAGTAACTGGTTGTTTATTTTTTGAATAAACATCCCACATAAGGTAAGTTCTGTTCTGTAATTCTTTTGCTTCAGTCATGTTTAACTTTAAAACATGAATTTAAGAATGACTTCACTGTGCAGCAGCAGGTCTCACATGTAGAAGCAGTAAGGAGGCTGCCTCTGCTCTAAGTATGGTGTACTTTCCCAAGCATTACAAAGCCCAGCAACTTTCTCCCTTGAGATCTCAGAACAAAGAAAAGTCCAAAGGGGCCTGCTCTCTGCTTCACTTGCTTCTCTGCTCCACAGGGAGTTTGAATAGAATGCTACTAATTTTTTTTTCTAATAAAGCAGACTCTTGCTATATAACCTAAAACGTCAATTTTTCTGCCTCAGACTCTGGAACGCTGTGTAGTTACAGGCAAGTGCCACTGTGCCTAGCTGCCGGTGATTTATAAACATCCAAAGACTACGGCTCAGTTCTCAGGAGCCCTGGATGAGCAGTGGTTACTGTAAAGCTCTTGCAATCTACAGAGACCAAGAAGACCTACAAGCCCCCCGGCTTCTAACTCAGCAGCTGTTTCAGCTTTCCATACTGGCTCACAGCTCACAAAACTACAAGTAAAAGCAGAAAATAACCCACAGCCCACCCCAATTCAATTAACCATCAGTTTAAGGATCTGTGTAAACAGTGCCTTAACTTTTTTTTTTTTTTTTGTACTGCAAGTTGGATACCTGCGAGTTGAAGCCCCTGGGATCTTAGCTCACTCCTCCAGAATTATTTAATGAGACAACAAACGGGCACCACAGGAACCACTTACTCTGCCTCAAAAAAAGCCCCAGGGTCAGGTGTCACGGGGACTGTGTGAAGTAACATAGCCTCGTGGTACAAAACAAGCTTTTCCATTCAAATCTCCACAAGGAGCCCCAGGGGCACCACTAAACGTGTGCTCAGCCCCTGACACACAATCCACCGCTGCACAAGCAGGGGCAGTCACAGGCCCTCTCCTACACTGCTGCTAGGAGTACAAAGCCACAGAAACCACAGTGACAGAAAACAGGTAAACAGTTACTGACAGGCCGAAGCAGAGGACAGGGTTGACTGAAGCCTCAGAAACTTTCAGGTGTGGGTGGGTGGCCTGAAGAGTATGTGCCTGGGATAAATCTGCCAGGAACTCACCAAACCATGAACTTAAAGTTGCCTCTCTCTGCACATCTTCAGTCACACATGCCTAGGTCAGCCTGGTTACTATCCTGAACAGAATTATATCGTCCTAGTTTTTATATACATACATACACACACACACAAAATGTGTGTGTGTGTGTGTATGCATGTGTGCATTTTTGTTTGAAATAGCTTATCTACATAACCCAGACTGGTTCTGAACTCAACCTTCCAGCTTTAGACTCCCAAGTACTATGATTACAGGCATGTGGATAATGCCTGGTTCAATCTCTTCCTTAGTTCTTACCTCTCTCCTTTTTCTTTTTCAGACAGGATTTTGTCTTGTAGTTCAGGATGGACATATCTCTGAGCCTCAACTTTTTTCCCTGACAATTTTTTAATTACATTAATTCATTTACTCAATTCACTATGTGCATGTGCACAAAGTACAGGGTGTGTGTGGAGGTCAGGATACTTTTGGGAATCAGTTTTCTCCTTCCACTAAGTGGTGATCTCTGAGGACTGAACTCAAGTGGTCAGGACTGGCATCAGTCCCTCCACCACTGAGCCATTTCACCTCCCCTTCTTTCTCTTTTTCAGACTCTGTGTGTGTGTGCATGTGCACGTGTGTGTGATGTTGCCCAGGCTAGCTCTGAACTCACAATCCTCCAGACTAGCTGGCCAGGTACCTGGGATCAGAATCTATGCCACTGCACCAAGCACTCAACTCATTATGCAAGGGCCACATACTTGGCTTTTCCCAGGCTTTTTTTCCAGTGAGAGAGGGGCCGGGGGAGAGGTGTCCTACTGTGTTGCCCACACTGGCCTCAGTGGAGCCTCCTGGACAGCAGAGTACAGATGTTACTTGAGATCTTCCTGAGCCACACTAACCCCACACTGTCCCAGCCTGGCTTGCCTCTGACCCTTGTTTTCTGCTCTCCTCCTTGCCTGTCTGTCACCACATGACATACTGTGTCTATACTGTCTGTCGTTTTCTCACCTCTGCCTGAAAACAAGTTCTATGGACTAAGCTTTTTGTTTGTTTTTTTATACAGGATCTCCTTATGTAGCCTTGGTTGGCCTAGAACTTGATATACAGAACAAGCTGGCCTCAAACTCAGAGATCTGTTTGCCTCTGTCTCAAATTCGGGGATTAAATGTGTGCATCACTATGCCAGCCCAGAATTTTTTTTTAAAAGTTTTTTTATTTTATATGTATGAATTGCTTAGTTACAAGAGACTGCTGAATTTTCTGGGACTGGAGCCATCGTATGAGTATTGGGAATTGAACCTTGGTACTGTGGGAAAGCAGCCAGTGTTCTTAACTGAAGAGCCATCTCTCCAGCCCGATATAAGACATTTTGGCTCGCTGGGCAGTGGTGGCACATGCCTTTAATCCCAACACTTGGGAGGCAGAGGCAGGTGGATTTCTGAGTTCGAGTCCAGCCTGGTCTACAGAGTGAGTTCCAGGACAGCCAGGGCTATACAGAGAAACCCTGTCTCAACAAACAAACAAACAAGACATTTTGGCTCTTTGGTTTACTCTTGAATCTCCAGAATACAAGACAAACAACAAACCCCACCAGCATAGGACAGGTACTCTATAGAACTGCCTCAAATCACCACTACGTCGTGTGTATCTATTCTCACAGATCATCAGATGCAAGGGAATCCCACACCGAGACAGGGA